AATATACAGTTTATAATAACATTTGAAATAATATATAATATAATAAGGATACATACGATATCTGTTGAATATAGAAAACCTATACCTACGCTAACATCAGATAATTATGTTTAATGCAACCACATTGTAATTGTGAAACTATTGGGTACATGGTCTGCAGATATGTAGTTGTCAGCCAGTGACATAGGTCCTGTTTGTTCCTATACTTACAAGTTCCTCTTTACAGCAATCGAGACTCATATACTATAAAAGATTTTATTGTTTACATCTATCGAAGATCGAAAAATCGTCTTTGTGTAAATCTTTGAATTCAACGACATTAAGAGAAAATCTAAGTATATATTAAAACGTTCGTGAAACATACTAAATTATTAACTAATTACGTTTTTGTCTCATCATGAATATGAGCCTCTAGCGTGGCTTGAAACTAGTCGAGTTCCTCGTCAAACAGTTACGTGAGTAAGAAGGCAGAAAACATAATAATTAATTTAGAAAATCTAAGTGTTGGAAAATGTTAATGAAAGTGATAAAAGAGTAACTACTTACATAAATAACAATTTTCTCCAAGAGGAAGGCAGCATCCATAAAAAGATAACATTAATACTCTTACCCACAAGTAAGAGTATTAATGTTTATAAAACTTTATTTTCCCCCGACGTCAGTTTACGAGCTCCCGTATTTTATCACCACTTTATGAAAGTTACACTTTCTTATAATTAAGATGTAACACACAAACAGACATACACTCTCCTCGCCTTCGTTGAAACAGCCATTGCTTTATACTACTTCACATGAACAGTTAATGTCAATAATTAAATTTTGATCGTACGCGGTACAATCGTTAAAATGTTGGTAATATATATATTAAGGAAAATTGCATAAAGTTGTCACAACTTTCTTAGCTTACGTAGCCAATAGCCACTACATAAGCTACGCGACATTGAAAAGAAATTAATACAGACATAGTTACTATATTACAAACACATTCAAATCATAATAAGAAACGTCTTTAACGATGTGAAAGAATCGGAAATCCTTGAATCCAGTATTGTGAAGTACCACCCTCATAAAATTCAGTAAGGTCAGTAAAAGTATACCAGTCTACTCCCATTTCATTTAAATATTGCAAGACGTCATACACCGCCATGTAAACACTATGTGGTATCATCTTTCGTCTCCTGCACATTATATTTACAATCCAGCCACTTCCCGCTAGTGCGGATCTATTGGAAGCGGAGATGCGCGCGCGCAGTTTTATTTTTACTGCGCAGTTTCGGAGCGACCTGCCAAAAATGTGGCCCAGTGATCTTCTGAAATATATCGCGCCTATTATTATTATATAGACCGGAATGTAGATCAATTCATGGGAAATAGGGTCAGATGTAGTTTCAGTACTATTATGTGCAACTAGAACGTGTTTATAGTAACAAAACAGTCAGTTGAGAATGTGCAATAATCTAGTTATTTAATAATTGCACATTTGAAATCAATAACAACGGCACGCCAACAATAATGCTATAAATAACAATAGAATATTAAGACGAACGCACTGACACACAATACGTAATAACTTTGACGACATTATTTGAAACATAAGGACAACATTAGATACAACCTGAATCTCGTGAACCACACATCATAGAAACATCTCAATCTCCCATCTGTAAGCACTAAATGATTATCTCATGCGATCTCTATTTCAGCGGCTTAAATATTCGCGAATAATATAAAAATATCCACTCACAACGTGTGTAGTATTGCAATTCACATTTCGCGACTCCCACGCATCGCCACCGTCTGTGTTGTAGGTAAATAAACTGTCATAATAACATCGCGATATCATTTTCAACATGAACATCATAATATATACAAACAAATGAAAAACAAATACAAAATGAAAAAATAAATTGTCGTTGAAATCGAAAAACTTGAAACAAAAATAAAAAGATTATACGATGGAATTACAACACTATAACTACATGGTATAGTATATAGTTTGAAACATCATCAATGAAATGAGATCATCGAATGATCATAGAAGCATAACGAAACCAGAGCAGCTACTGGTGCTACTACTACAACCAATGATCAGTTATTCAGGCCATCAATAGTTATCGATACGTAGTTTCACGACTACTTTAGCGAGCACATTGGGCGGCTGTGTGAGACTAAACAAGGGCACGACTTCAAAGGGCCGGCTGTTGGCACGTCGTGAGATGACTCATTCACGTCGATATCTTGCCCTATCACTGATGTCAACGAACGCCCACTTATACTATGCTGCTTTGTTTTTGGATGTCAATCATTCACTGATCATTGTTTGAAAGGTATTCGTGATATGGCAGATTTCTCACTGGATTTCTACTATTCGACTTGCTCTAAATCACAGTTTTCTCTGTGCCCACGTTTATTGCTTATTTCTAAATTCTCAAAATTCCTATCTCCAACTAAAATAACTTGGAGCTAAAATACCCAGAACACTCGGTGTGAGGTTTCTTTGCATTCTTGTGCAAGGACACGAGACATTGTACCTTCTGGAATTACAGCTGCAACTTCAGTCTGTAGCAGGGAATGCAACAAGACTCCGACTGCCGGCATCCGAGCCGTTTGACCTGCTGACTCACGAGCTATGTTTAGCCGACTGCTGTCAAGGCAGAGCAATTGGTAAATAGCTGGGAGTCGGCAACAGACGCGCGGGAGACACTCTCCGTGTGATTGAGAGTAATTAGTTTAAGTGGAGCTGTGTACTGCTATTTAAATTGAAGTGTTTACGAAAGTTCTTCGAGTAATTACTGTTCTTAAATTATAAATATTTCAATTGTATTTCAACTACATATTTTTCCTCATTAGTCTAAAACAAAACTTCTACTTGAGTGCTTGGCAATAACAACAACAACTGCAAAGCTTCCTCAAAACATTATTTGGACAGAAGTGAATGATAACGACAGGTACATACAAAGATCTCGTACTGATGTACAGATACTGGTGACGATGGAATAGTTGGCTACAATCTGCTCACAGCTGACCATTCCTATCCAGTTTTAATGGCGCCCGGGTGCATCTCCGGAGACATCATCTCTACTAATATAGAAGCTGGTCATGGTTTTAGTGTCCGCGCGTAAAAGTACTGAGTTCCGCGTTGGAGCGGCGCCCGCGCATCATTTAGAGATCGTATAAACAAGCTGTATCCATCAGGCGTGTCATAAAGTTTATTCATGTGATATCACGCACTAGTTGCCTCCACTTGGCTATGGGTACATAGCTTACTGTATCACATTCCCGATCCCCCAAAAAAGTAATGTTATTGGAGACCAAATATCATTGCAATACCTACTTCTTTGTGAAGTTTCTAAGCCAGTGTATCGTGAGTCGGCAGCTGAATGATACTCCAGAATAAATAAAGCAGGACAAGGTGCCCGCTGCTGTCCCGTACATTACAGATTGGCCTGGAGTCAAATTGATGGCGGACACAAACAAAACAATAAAGATATCAAAGAGCAATACAATGAGAATGCACTCACTGTGGAATACACTTCAAACCGATATATAGTGTTAAAGAATTTAGATAGATGTTAAGGTGTCGAAACAAGTTGACAATACTTAAAGTCTCTTCATGAACTTGAGGATTGTGGGATGACCTGTATATACATATTATTATAGCATTATTTAATGATAACTTCTCCAAACTTCCATAGAAGACTGACAGTCTCGCTCTTTAAATCACATCTTTGCATATAATTATGTAGGTAACTGAATGTACTGGTATGTTAATGTAATATAGTATGTTAATGTAAACCTGTAAAACTTCAGAATTCCTGAAATATCTCGCGCCGCTCTACAGATACTACAACAAACTGTTCACTGATGCAGAATTATCTAATGATCTGAAAAAATTACCTATCTTACTTGTGCGTGTGTGTATTGTTGCGCGAATCTCAGAAATAGACTATAACTATTCGACCGTTACACTGAATTACTTCTTTGCAATAACAGGGTTGTCACGTTTCCTGTTTCTTTTGGAAGCCGTGATTTCACCCACTATGTGCTTATAACTGCACTTGAATAATAACGTAACAAAGAAAATTATCGACTTACAAAACATTATCTGACAGCCAGTATCGACACGAGAATGAAATCGCTCCTTATATTACGTACAATACAACACAAGCAACGTCTGTAAATAAATGTTATGAATGAAAATAATCGATAGCAGATAATATATTTTGATACAAATCTTCCTCAATAAAACATCTGGAGCTCGCGATGACGTCAATATCGACATAAAGTTTATGAAGTAGTAACGGGGCGTGGTACAGCCGCACGGGCAGCGCGCGGGCAGCCCTAGCGGGCAATATGGCGGCTGAAGGTCACCCCGCGTGTCATGTGTACCACTGAATTAGCTGCTGCTTTCTTCCCGCGCGCGGCCGCCATCAGTTCTCGTATCAATGAATTATACATTCTTTTACTTTTAGCTATATTACAACATCTCGCAACAGCTGGCTCTATACTCAACGTCTAATACATCACAAGCTACGAGCTTCAGACAAAATAAAGATCGAAATGTATCTTCGTGTCTGAAAAGTAAATAAAATAATGTTTATACTATATGAAAGATGTTCGTTTAAGTATTCGATAGGATTTTATATTTAGTTAGGTGCGAATGTATCGAGCATTAGAAAGTACTTAAATATAAAATTGGCGAAGCGATCTGTCAACGTGTCCACCTCGCATAACAAATGATTCATTAACAGCTGTGCTATGTATATTAGCAGGCGCCTGCGCCGGCCTTTGACCAGCAAGGTGAAGATGCGCTATTTCGTGTATTTTTCAAGATGTCATTTCTATTATTTAGTGAAAATAACTCGGTTTCGCAATAGCGGTGACATTGATATACGAGCCGAGTGAGTCACACAAATATTGGAAGGTTAGGTTAGTTATTTAACTGTGACAATCGTCTATTTATATAAACTATCTTCATAGTTTGCTTGTTTGTCCTGCAGGAGACAGTCCGCACGAGCAGCAGTGGTGGCGGCAAAGTAACCAGCACTCAGACCAGGACTATCGAGGACTTCGACGTAGACCAGTGCTGGGACGAGCGCCTGCTCAGGAAACTCGTGAGTATATCATCATAACTGCCCTCGCTGCAGGTACAACCCGGAGTTACTATCTCCTAATGTGGGAACTATGAAGGCTTGTCATTACATTCTAGACGTGATCTTGTTTAGTGGTACAATATTCTTGTTTAAAGTATAGTCTTAAACTTATATGTAATGTTTAGTTATACAAACCTCCTTTGAAAAATGAAGAACAATTGCATGAAAAACTGAAATGAAATTCGAGCAAAGAATATTTTCGCTAGTCTAATCTTATCAGGTTTGTAAATAGTTAAATAAGTCGTCATCGGTCCTGGTCTTAGTATCCAGTAGGTACACCTGTACCTAATGGTGTCGAGTGAGTCACCGACCCAGGCCGTGTCTCCACCGGACCGGTCTCGTCTCCATTCATACGACTTTCATTCATTAACTATTACTTGACTCATTCCGGTCCACCGCCGGTTAATCGAGTTTCAAAACATTGCGATTTTAACTGTAAACATAATCTCAAGCCTTGTTTTTTTGTCAGAATAGTATTTAATTTGTCAAATATGAACCGTATCTAATAGTCTTCTCGTGTACTAAGTTAACGTATCACTGTTATTCACTAAAATGATGATAGTGAGGAAACCCTAAAATACAATTTTGATATTCATGACATTATCATCCCCGAGACTAAATTTAACAAGAAATAAATTTATACAAGTAAACAGCTTCATTACAAGTGTAGCCTGGCGCATACACATCAACAAACCACGGCAAGGAAAGTATTGGCAGTCGGTACTTAGCGGCTTTCACGGTGTGACGACGCGACGTCCACTCACGCGCAGCGCGACGCGTGAAACTTTACGCGACTAACTGCGCACGCGCTTCTGGTTTAAATGACAAGAATAATGCGATTCTATTACTCTATCTCTGTTTACTGTGCTGTTACTTTATAAACATGTTACATTTAATAGTACACAGAAACAGGTGGCTGATGGTGTTACAATGAGGTTTGATCCTCTATGTTAGTCTAAGTTAGGTTATAAGCATGTCACATAAACAACAACACTAACTCAAAGATGTCCAATATCGCTGGTCGCTTGTGTCTCGTGTCGGCACCGGTAGATAAGTGGTAACCAATCACTTTCGCTGACACAGCATGGGAACGCGTCGCGTGTACTTGACACTGGTCGCAGTGGACACTGGTCAGTCACGACTGAGTGCTGGGCTGCTGAGGAATGTCACACTGTGTCACAATACTGAGACATCGCTGCGTGGACCAAAGCGAATAATATTATACTTGTGAGTTTGTGCGCATAGGTATAGTTCAAAAACTGTCGTTGCGCCTATTGTCGTGCTTTGCTCAATTAAGTAGATGGATCTTGTAACATTACATATTAGCTCATGCCAACTCTTTAAATACAAGGAAAAACTTGCTTAATCAGAAATTCTTAGGTACCACGAACAAGATAAATTTAAACAAGTGCCACTGACCACTACTGTACCTACTCACAAAGTCACATAATATGTAGTATAATATTGTCAACTCGAGACACCAAAACATATTCCAATATGACTAATTACTACACTTTGTGAAGTCATCAGCTCTCCAACAAAGCGCTGCAATGAGAGCAGCGCTCACTTCCGGCTAAGAGCACTTCCGGCATGGCACGGTACTTGAACCGGTTGCCGCCCGCAATACAAACGTCACTTATTGACAACTTGACCACTCGTGCAGAAAGTGCGCGTAGAGAACATGCACACTAGACAACTAATTATATTAGCACAGGATTTTTTGAAACCAACGTTCAAACAAAAAATTAGGTTTAACATTGATACTTCTAGTAATTTTGCTGACCAAATTATGACAAGTAGTCGTAGTGGCAAAATACAAAACACTGATAAAAAGTAAATAAACTAATTCAGACAACACTCACAAATCCATTGTATAGGATGACAAGTCACTTGAGTCACCATGATTTCATTGTGATTACAAAGGAAGTCACTATGAGCACCAGATAAGGCAGCAATTTTTCTGTGAAGAGGTACTAAAGTAAAGCTATTATGTAGCGAAGTTACCTCCTTCGTCAGCGTCCACCTAAAGTCATTCCGTTTCCAAGCAGTCCAGTGTGCACTTCTCTTCACTTTAGTGGCAGTAACCACAGAGTAAATAATACGCGGTGTACACAGTTGTGGTAGAGGACAGTATCATTGCGCACGCGCAGCGACACAAACAAGCGCTGTTCTAGGGTGAGACTACGCAATGTTGCGAGGATTTCAGCAACTGTGTGTGAGTTCGTATGTAGTGATCTAGTGATCTCTGGCAAGACACCGCGTCATTTTCCAATTTATCTAGGTTTCGTTGCTTGTTATTTTTAAATGAATCAGTGGATGTATTTATTGTCTTATTATTTATGCACACACTTTTTAAAATTTTCATGTGAATTCGTTCCTTGCAGTTGGACGAGTGCAACGACTACGAGCAACGTCGACGACTGCGCGCGCGCATCCGCACCCTAATGGCTGAACAAGAAGGTAATTATATACACGTAGTACCTACACTGACCAGAGACAGAGCTCGACACTTCGATAGGCTCCACACGAGGAGCGAGCTGTCGGAGACAAGGCAATCTTCCAGTCGAAGGTATCGATTGTGGAGTGCTTTCATAATATGTAATATTAAATTGTTCTCTATTTATTTACAGATTTTATTCAAATATTTTAGACACAAGGTAACACTGACCATAACAATACATGTCATAACCACATATTTATAATACTTCGTTTAGATTCTCATACTGTGAAAAACTTAAAACTTTGCGGTAAAGTGTGTAGGGATTTACATTTCAAGCTAATGTTGAATATTCCAGCATGCGCGAGCGCCGTGACGGAGGCCCTGGCGGCAGCGGGCGAAGCTGAAGGTGCAGAAGGCGATAGTCGTGGTGAGTCCCTCCTCCTCCCACTGCTGCAGGGGCTGCTGGGCGGCGGCGGCGAACGCCTGCTGGCCGGGCTGGGCGCCGCGCCCGCTGACGTGGTGGCAGATGTGCGGCGGTCACTGGGCCGCCTGCGAGCCGCGCTCGCGCCCCCTACAGAACACCCACAGGCACGCGCCCTCCTGTCCCTCGCCGATCGGCTTGAAGACGCCCTTGATGCTGCAGATAGGCTAGATGGCTGCCGGCGAAAGCCACGTCGCCGCAGTCGTGCAGCCAGGCACACGGTCGGCGTCACTCATGAGGAGCTAGAGGAAGCACGTCGCCTAGTTGACCGAGACCAGTTAGCGCTCGGCGCTAAGGGTCCTTTATCGTCAGGTGCCACCTCGACGGCTTCCATGGCCACCAGCACTGACGAACCTTCTACTCCAGAACGTAAACAAAGTATAGACGAGAACGTCAGTTATCACGATGCAGTCGCTACTCGACAGAAATCCACACCAGTAGCGCACTCTGTTAGCTACGAAGCCCCAAAATTGAACAGAGATGCGCATGTCGTTGTGGAGAAACGAGCTCCTACTACTCGGAAACCTGATTTTTATCGGCACTCGGTAGCCGATACGGGTAGTCAGAGACCTCAGCCTCATCAACAGATGCACCCTCTAAAACAAGCTCACCAACAGTTGTCACAACAAGCGCCGCAGCCCCCGGCACAGGGCCCACAGCACGCGCCACACGTACCGTACCAGCCCCAGCCACTCTATCAACCGTACCAACCACAACCGCGAATGGAGCGGCGTCCCTCCGACTCTAAGAGCAGTATCGCTGCTATCGCTAATAAGTTTGATACTCGTGCTCAAAAAGAGAATATACCAAGACGTGCCCCCATTGAACCCGTGAATACACAACAAAAAGAATTTAACAATCGTGCTCCATTATACATGCCCCTCCCACCCACATACAACTTTGCGGCACCACCGATTGCGTCTCAAGATGACTCTAAGCCACTCAATAGGTTCGGCAACAGCAACAACAAACGGCTACGTATGAAACGCGCTAACACTATCGATATAGGAAGGCCGCTAGCCGGGTACCGCATTGACAGCGATAATGATGACGAGTCATCACCTCGCCCCATTGTACCCGAGTTCACACCTCAAACTGAGAATGATAGAAAATTTGTAGCATTCATGAAGAAAAACGAAGCAGCCGACCGCGACTCTTCTATCAACGGGCCCGCAAACTGGAGCAGTAGGTTTGGAAACATAAAAAATGCATTTGAGAGTCGTGAAAGAGAAGATAATATCAACATAAACAGTAGGTCGTCAAGTGCATCGTCCGCGCGTCGCTTCTGGCGCACCGCAGACGAGACCACAGTGAATCCAGCCAGTGCGCGACCTAGGAAATTCTTTAATGCAAATAACAATGACATAGTCAAGCCCCCGTGGGTGAACGAACGGAGGGAACCTATGCGGGTTCATATCCCGCGACAAGTGCAGCAGCCACCTGCACCTGCGACCGCGCCAGTGTCATTGCCCACGCACCGACCTGCACCAATCGCAGCGCCGACTTCAGCCCCAATACTACCTCCAGCGCCAGCGCCAGCAGTTTTGACCGCACCAATCGCGCCACCACATCACCCACCCGTGCCGCAGTCCCCCACAAAACCACTGGTTGTCAAACCATTCGTGGCAAGGCCCATACCCGTTAATCAATTTTCTCACGCGCCTATGTCCGCGTTCAAGCCACCAACTAAAGTGACGTCACCGACAGCTGCTCCTGCTTACATATGGAGCCCTCCATCCGTCATGAACGTCACTTCCCCTCCAGTCGACCACACACCCGCGTTCCCTGTGAATCCAGGGCCTATTGCCCCAAGCCCCCCAGCGCCTAGTAAACCGTGGGCTTCAGACATTGATAAGCCAAGGAGGGTGGTTGGTATAGCCGCTACTAAGTTCGAAACGAACAAGCCTGATCTGGCGCCTGCACCCTACCGTGAACGTCCGTCCGCGTTTCACCCGCCTGCACCGCAGACTCACGCACCCCCACAAATGCAAAACTACCCGATGAAGACAATACCCAGTCAGAATGACCTCTCTGCTCCAGAACTCGTACGGAAAGCAGACGACACAAAGCTCCCGCCACAAGATGCATATTTACCTAAGGTCGATGCACAGAAATTACAAATAGAATTTTACGAAAAACAGATTCGTGAAAAGAACCGGCGCGAAACAGTCACGAATGGCCACAGTGACCCCATGGAACGAAAGCCACCCGCGCCGCCGGCCTATACTATTACCGATTATACACCATCCAATGGTATCTCTACTTTTGTCCCACTACAGCGCACTCCAGATATAGAGAAAGCTCGCGCCCATAAAGTAGACTACCTACCAGATGTCGTTACAAACGATACAGATAGACACCGTAACGGTGCCTCACCGCTACAGGGCCGGGCACCCGCCAGTCCATACTCTCCACGAGCCACTAACATCACAGAGTCACACCACGCATATCAGAATGGTGATGTGCCATACACAAATGGTGTCGACGAAGGTGTGACCACAGAGCACGACAGTGTGGTGACTCGGGTGATGCGCGGTCCAGTGCGTGGGGCGGCTACTATTACCACTGGGGTGCGCACACGCAACGACGAGGGTCGTCGTGGTTCGGCTGCTGACAGTCTGCGCGGAGCACTAGACAAACTCTCGTCTCCCAAAAACGATGTCATCAACCAGATCGAGAGGAAAAAACGCGAAACAGCGAGGTCCCAGGTACGGGCCCCTGTAAATACCGGCCGTTCCCCCCTGCTCGCGCCCGCCTCCCCGCACGCTCCCCACTCCCCTGGTGGTCTGGCAGCGTCCCGCGAGTCTGTCCTGTCAAGCGAGTCGGCTGGCAGCCTCGGCTCCAACCCGCTTAGCAGATCTGGCTCGTGGCATCAAATGGTAGCCAGTCCCAAGTCAGCCTCGCCGCGTCGCGTAGTCGCTCGTGCCAAATCCATGCACCTCCTAGCTGTACCCAAGTTGTATGAGGGTGGAATAGCGCGTGAGGAAGTAACCGAAAAGAAGCGAACAGTGGAGGCGTACTTCTCTGGCCAGCAGCCGCAGCCGGCGCGGCCGACGCCAGCGAGCAGCTCGCGGCCACGCGCGCTGCGCCAGTCGTACGCGCCGCCGCAGCCGTACTCGCTGGGCCGTAGCCGCACCATGCCCACGGTGTCGGAGCTGCAGTTCCTGGACGAGAGCAACACGGAGGACGCATTCGAGGACCTGGTGTCGGCGCTCGCGTAGCGTAGCGTCGCAACATTCCACTAGTTAGGAGCGAGAGACGAGCGAGACGCGCGTGAGTCGTGTGTGTGTGGGTCTGTGCTTGTGCCCGCCCCGCATGCCCCCCCGGCCCCCTCTGGCCCTGCGCCCGCGCTATCACGTCGATGTACATATGTGCTCGTAACCTCCGTACCATCTTCATAGCGCCCTGTAACCGTGTTATTTGACTAATAGCTTATAGGTTATTGTTGTATTGTCTTGCTGATTGTTTTCCAAGTGTTCGAGTTAGTGTTAGATTTCTGTGCATGTGTGCCAGCTTCAAGCAACTAACGAGAATATTTTATTTGCAGAGGAAGAGGAAGTAACCGTGACATCGAGCGTGAGGAGGAACTCATCAGAGAAAACTGTTAGTAGTAGCACCACCACCGTTAAAACATCTAAAGGTAGGGACGCTTCCAATGCTCTGTTCATTACCACCTTTATAATTAAGCCATCTGTTTAAAATATGGAACAAACCTTGATATTCCAGTGATAGAGAGTATGACCAGGCCGGCGCCCAAGCCCGTGTCGCCCTTCGCCAAGTTCCGGCAACTCGAAAAACAAAACTCAACAAACAGTCCCAAGTAAGTGTTGTGCTTCTATACAAAACTAAATAATGTCAAGATTCCATACAAATATTACGACCGATACATGAAACTCCATACCATTCAAATACTATATTTTATGTATAAGATCCTTTCGCTTCATACGTAATGTAATGCAATATATTTTATTTATTTTGGCAGCCATATCTGTGGATACGAATAAGGATTAGATACAAGTAAATATACAAGTTAATGATATGCATATAACATGTATATTAGACGCTTAATACGATAATCATTTTTTTTCTGAGAAGCATAAGGCTAAGTACATACGAAGCCTCTGTCAATAATCGCACGTGTGTACTTACCCTGTCATGAGAACCTTCAGTTGTCGTCCATGGCGAAGCTCGGCTGATAGCTTGACATCTAGTTGACATCAGCACGCGACTTGTAAATAACCAGCGACCCCATTAATATAATAGCACACGCGTTCCGTAGCACACGATGTGACACACGAACTAATAGTTTGACCGTCGACCAACTAACGCTCGGTCGCAGCTAGATGAGGCTCGGTGACTAACATGCGTGCCCGGTTGTAGCTCGCCCAAGACCCCGCAGAGCCCGGGCTCTCCGGCGCAGCCTTACTTCAAGTTCACGGACCCCGCGCTGCAAGCCAGCGCCGTCACTATTAAAGAACGATTGCTGCAGTGGTGTCGCGACAAGACCCGGGACTACGAGGTACACTCCACACCTCCCGCCTCCTCCGTCCGCACGCAACACCCCCACTGCGTAACATAACACACACTGTGCAAGTAAACATTAGTCAGTACACGTATTGGGGAGGTTATGGATGCGGCTACTACAGGCAAATGCATATTTTTGACAACATTCGGAGATGGTGATAATACCGAGCGGGAGTTGATATCACAAAATTTGCATCTGCCTTAACATTAGGCCCTTCGGACTAAACGGATTTAACCGCGTTATCGAGTTGTAGCATGTTGTTAGCGTACGCTGCGCACGCGCATCTGGCATTAACACACACGTTGATGACGTCACTACCACTCATACTCCACGCTTCTCTTATCGCTTCACTTTGGCTGCTACTTGTCTGTATTCTGTCCTGTATATATTTATACGTGCCTACGTTGTGTTATCATATTTACTACTTTGTTTATGTATATTGCCACATGACAACCAAATTTTATTACTTTGGTTCCCAACTATCCATAACGTAATTTACAATTTATTCATGGTTATCTGAAGCCCAATAATTTTTGGGAACATTGTCATACCGACGATATTTGTTTGAAATGTACAACAACCAACGACAAGGTAAACGAATGATTCAAACAACTGAATATAGAGTTGATTACAGCATGGGTTTATGAGATTGTTGTAATACAGATAAGTTTGTTGGAGTGTCAATATGATTGTTCAAGAATATGCATGGTTTTGTGTTTTTAACTATAGATATAAATGACCAAATTAGTGTGAGTATGAACTGTAAATAAAATGGGTGAACTTGAACACGTTGTGCCTAATGCAATGTACTCTGGAACCTCACTTAGTAGACATTTAGCCGACCGCACAGGCGTATTTGGCCGCACAGTACCCTTGATAAAATTCCAACAAGCATAATAAAATATTAAGACTGAGTGTTAATTTCCTACATTTTATTTGCACTAAGAAAGGGGCTAAGTTTTAAAAGACTTGGCGGTACGCTTATTACTTTTTTAAAGAACAAGTGTAAAGATTTCATACGGATTCATGAAATGTTATTTCCCAAAATCCTTCCTCAACATGAATGTAGTGTAACACGGCCATGTTTGTGTCCAGAATGTGAAGCTGGAGAACTTCTCCACGAGTTGGGCGGACGGGCTGGCGTTCTGCGCCCTAGTGCACCACTTCCTGCCTGACGCCTTCGACTACTCCAAGCTCTCGCCTGAGAAACGCCGACACAACTTTACGCTCGCCTTCAAAATTGCCGAGTAAGTATATATATTTCTAACCAGACCTGCATAACCACTTTCTGATCATAAGGTAAAGAACTTATCACCACAATCGTCAATAATTAATTATTGTTCCATTTGTTTCCAGTGAGAAGGCGGGCATCTATCCCCTACTAGACGTGGACGATATGGTGACGATGCGCAAACCAGACTGGAAGTGTGTGTTCACATACGTGCAGTCCATCTACCGCCGGTTCAAGGACCAGGACTGACCGTCACCCTGTTGCCCGGACGTGGGACGTAAACACCGTATATTGTCACTACAAAGTACAAACGTTGTGAAGCCTCGAGGGGTAATTGATTAGACTCCCTTGTGTCTAAGCTGGCGATTATTTTTAGAAGGCTTCAGTGATTTAGTCGAGAGTACCCTGTTAGCTGAAGTGAAGTGACAGTAGACGGTGTTCACGTCGCTGGGGATTCAGGCGCCAGCGCCGAGTAGTAGAGCGCTGTAGTCACAAATAGTACGTTACGAGGTGTGTTATATAAATCCAAAGAGCGTATGTTGTTGATTTGTTAGTTTGTTGTAAATGTTTATATGTCAGTGTCCGCCCAACTCGTATCTCCACGCGCTGTCTCGATACAGTCCTCCTATTTACTATTATCTCAAGATGTGATTTTTTTCTACGTTAGCTTGTAAGGTTAAACTAACATTTATATATCGAGCGACTACTGGTAGGTCATAGCGTAGTACCGCACTGCTGAGGATCGCTTGCACTTATATACCCACATAAGAGAGTAGTATCCTTGTTTATCAGTGTACATACTGTTTCACGATTATTTAACGTATTTTATGAATTTGATATTAATAACAACAGCGGCTTCATGTATTCGCTACTGATTTTATGAAATTTGATATTATTATATTATTATGATTATTATGTTAATTTATATTGATAATGAAATAAATATTGATTAACAAAACTTTTATGTATTATTTACTTACAATTTTATTCGCATCAATATTTACCAAAAAAAGGAAACATTTTTGAAAGGTGTAGGTACAGGTGGGCGTGGCCCTTGTTTGGTCGAAAACACGAAACGTTGTTCAACTAATTTCATTTCGTCGAATTATTCCTTTGACCGATTAATTCATTGGTATATTTTTATTTAGCATAATTATTTATTTGAACTTGTTACATTACACCGAAATTTCAAATGCACTAATTTTATTGAAACTAATGTTTTTAATATAAACAGCTAAATGGTATGAAAAGATTAGAAAAGCGGTTGGTAGTGACATAGTCACATGGTGCTCAGCGGCCGCTGTGCCGCACGTTGTAACCTAACCCAACGAGATGTGTCGGGACTCGGAGTGCCCAAAACATTTTGCCCGAAAATTTAGTTTTACTAAAAGTAACGAATAGAGTTTCTTACTCGTTCTTCTCCTTTCGAATCTACGTTTTGGAATGAGCACCTAACTTCACCTATTTTCACTGACGGACTGACTGACAGACTATTATTTAATTTGTATTTATTGACGTTTCAAAAGTACCAAACTATGGTTTAATTGAAATAAATGGTTTGACTTTGACTTTGACTTTGAATTGCAAATAATTTAACATTAGTCTAACTGTTTTCTAGTTCAAAATACACCATCCGAACATTACATCAAACATTATACCTTTTGATCATTAGCGCAAATGTTGTTATAGCAAATGGCAAATAAATATTCGACGAACTGAAAATTCTGTCAAACGATATTATACTAAGTGATGATTTGTTGATACGAAACGTTGTTTGAGTTAGTAATATTATATCAAACGTTGTTCGATCAAACAAGGGTGAACCGAGGTGACCACAATGATATACCTAACCTACTACCTATCTTAGGGTGCTTACATAAAAACAAGTCTTTACTGGTGGAATCTGTTCGAGTCGGTACCGATCGGCACGGGCATAATACTTTTAATGTGGATGTTTAGTATTCAATTCACTCACATCTCTAAAGACATAGGTACCGACAGTGCCGACACGATACAGATTTGTCTACACGTATCTACAACTTGTTTATATTATGTAAACACCCTGAGGGCCAGCGTTCACTGCTGACACGACACGGTCAGGCAGACGGTGCTGCGGCTGCGGCATCCCGCGGCGTCATAGTACCGATCGACATAAAGTAACATGAACTCTAAATTCATTTTCTTCATAATAACTTGATTACTGGTGAAATCGTTTGCCAGCAGTGAGTGCCAGCCTAATACTGCCCAAATGGCTCATCCTAAATGGATTATCACAAGGTTCAATAAACTCAAAAAACAACTGTCTGACAATAGCGCACTTTCTAATATCACTCGATCGGTAGCACCTAACGATTGTTTCATCAATTTACAACTTGACGTCGTCAACGTATTCTTGTCAAAAGTCGTTATAATCATATTTAGTAGGCCAAAATATTGCTATCGGTAAAATAAAAAGTGCGCATTGAAGAGTGTTATTTCAAATAGATAACGAGAAAGCAAAAAATAAAGTTCAAAGAAATTAAAAAAATAAATTAAGTAACTTCAAAAGTATTTATTTGATGAAAATCAGAGCTACAGTGACTTATATAGGACGAAGCGGGCGTGGCGGTCCCGTGCCCCTGGGGACGCCACGCGCACCTCAGGAAGTCACCTGTTGGCTTAGATGTTACACCTTGTAGTCTTACATTAGAGTTACTAAGTGATGGGGTTCGCATCTCTGATATGCCGTAATATTACCAAACCCATTAGAATTATAAAACAAGCGCCGGTCGTAATCGTGAAACTCAAAAACGAAAATGTCATAGTTGCTGCAAATGAATTAACTTGGCGGACCACCGCCGTGCCTCCAGACAACAATTTAATGTAACCGAAAATAAAGACTTGATTTTTTTGTAACGTAATACGTGTATGTATCTGTGAACAAAATAATATCATTAAATGAAACAGTGGGAGCTCTCAGACTGGGCCCAAGCGGTATTATTTAATTAAGTAGGTATCTAATGTATTTAGTGGGTAACGACATAATTATGTCTGCCATTCAGTAAAATAAAAATATTAAGTGGTAACCGTTAACGTAGATCAAATTATACTAACTTCATGGGTCTGGCAGATTGTACGGGAGTGCAACCATAAAAGGATCAGCGACATTAGTGCTCCTGTCAGCGGTGGCATTACCATCTTCGTCGCCCACCACCGTAGCGTCGGAGGGGTGCGGGGTGAGCGTGCTCTCCTCGTCCGCCAGCGTGACGTGCACGTGCAGCGTGCTGTCACGCCACGCCTGCCACGACAGCTGGTGCTCCTGGATCTTCAGCAGCATCCACGTCGTCAGCAGGCCGTTGAGCGCGCCTGGTGTGACCATGGAAAGACCCAGCAGTGATTATGGTGTATCTGAGACAATGAGATATCATCCTACAATAAAACAAAATCTACGTCTCATTAATAGGTTTTATGCATCGTGATTACTAGTGTCTTTTGAAAAAATAAGACGTCTGGGCATTATATTATTTCCAACTTTTTTTATTCTTACCAATAACTCCAATAAGCAACGAGGAGAAGAGATTAGCAGCCAGTGCGGCGCCCCCTCCCCTGCGCGCGCCCGCCTGCAGCACGGCGTCACAGGCGTGCAGTGCGCGCGCCGTGCCGAGCACGCTGGCCGTGCCCAGCGCCAGCGCGCGCCACACGTCCGCCGCCAGCGCACGCCCGCGTCCCGACATCGCCCACTCCGCCATCGACCGCATCCATGACCATCTGGACCGAAGTACTTGTAATAGACTCCCGAAATTTGTAGTTTAAACTACCATAACTCACGACAATATAATCAAACGTCTAGTGGAATGGATTAAAACCGAAACCGAGAGCAAATCTTATAATTATAAAAACATAAGCAACTCACTTGTGACTCCTGGTGACAATGTAGTGATGCCTGCACAGCTCGCAGTAGGACGTGGCAGCCTGCAGCAGCCAGCGCTCCAGACAGGAGCGGTGCACGGCAGCGATGGTTCCTCGGCAGGAGCATGGCCGCACCAGGCGCTCGGCAGACTCGCCGCCGAAGCAGATGCGGCAGATGTTATCCGAGCGGAGGCTGCCCGTGAAGCTCGACACCTCCTTCGCGGCTTGCGAGCCCTAACCACAGTGCAAGCCCAAACTCTATTGTTCACATTTCCTAACCATACATAATATTTGCTAAAAAAAGTAAATGTAGCACTTAAATAGATCTTTTTTCTCATAACCCCATTTTACCCCACTGTAGGAATTAGAATAATTGTTTTGTTTTAAGTAGGGAATATTTCTGCACTAAGTAAGGGTCTAAAATTATCATGTGAGTTATTGACATTTATATCCATTTAATGCAAGCCCGGACCTAGGAGTAAAGGTCTCCATTTCCATAATCTAGACTCTTAACTATTAATGGTCATTTTAATAATTAACGGGATATGTTTAGTTTAGATAAGTGGTATAGTTTAGAATTTACCCCAATCCTACAAAAGGCAATAATTATGGACAAGTGAGTGGAAAGCAGAAGGTTGTACTTGTTTATTGAGCAGCAACGCGCAGACGGAGCTGAGGATGGACATGGAGCGGCCCGCTGGTTGCACCAGAGATGACGCGGGAGAAGAGAACGTCAGCGAGTCTGCGATCCGTGCACGCATCTGACGCTGTTCCTCCGTGTCATTCGGATTCGCTACAATATTTTTACATAATATAGTACCTATTATCGTACATTCCTTTATTGTAATTGGACTATAAAGTTGTACCTACCCCCCTATGTATATTCCTATTTTTAATCTGACGCCTTTTGTTCAAGAAAGTGGCCTGTCGTACAAAACTTGGTACCGTGCTAATGGCCCTTAATACTTTGCATGACACGAGAATCGAACTCGAGATTTTGCAGTGGCGCCATTGGATTTGCGATCATTAAATCAATGAGGCAGTTTTTCATATTAAATTTTAATACTTAGATAATTGTATTAATTAAATACACGGTAAATTTATATAAGCCACAAGCTGCACAAGTACCTGGTGAAGAGATGCCGGGGGAGTACCGACAGCTTATATCAGTCTGTTGGGCGGTTGAACGCAGTTCCTTATCTCTCTGGCTGCTCGGTGTATTTGTCTGGAAATAAGGACAATAAAACGACAAACATGAAGAAATAGCTAAATATGGTATTTACTTAAGTAACTAATGTCCGCGAGTAAACAAGAATCAACTTCTTACCGGCGTGTGCAACGATGAGCAGCTAGAGGCGGACATGCTCATAGTAACCCTGCTGTCAGAGCGTTCGTAGCCCCAGAACATCAACAAGGTCTCCCCTTCGCCAACATTACACTCCTGAATAATAAAATCATTTTGTTTGTTTGATAGTATATTAGATAGTAGTATAGTATATTAGATAGATAGTAGATCCCGTAGTACAAGTGGTGGAAGAGGACAAGAAAACAGAGTACAAGAGGTAAAATATAAATTTGAAGAATAACGATTCTATAAGACCCTATAGGTATTGCAATCAACAAAAACTACTAAAAACAAGATTTTTTGAAAGACTATTATTATAACGTTTACATAAATCAAACTAATATATACCCGTAAGAGATTCGAGTAACTACAACTTCTATGATATTGAAAATCGACTCTTTGCAAAGCTTGTTGGATCTTCGGCTTGTAAGCAATTGGAACAATTACAGCCTGCCTCAAGTTTTGAATAGCATCACTTGGGAACTCCGTATCATTGCAATCAGTTAAATTGAATGTTACTAATTTCCGCATCTTTCATCTTCATCGCGAATCATAATCATACTTTTAATTTTGTAATAACGAAACAATAAATTACATAATTTCATCCATTTTTAACTTTAACAGGTCATGTCAGGGATGGCAAAACTCATGGATTTTGTCAATATTACAAATATTTTTATTTTTTCAGAAATAGGTATTTCAAAAAAGATACTTGTCATTTCTGGTGGATTTCTGACTATAATATTTTTATTATTCAGAACTTCAGAACGCATTCGTTATGAACCTTTTTTAAAATTCCGTGTTCCGAACACATCCATAGGCAATCCCCCACTTCTCTTAACCACGTACAGCGTTCCGTTTCTCGCATTAACACAGATGTCAAACTTAAACAAAGAAAAAGATAGCATTATAGTGTCTGTTTTACAACTGACCGAGACGGCGTACTATAATGTTTAAAATACTTATAAAGAAATGAAACACAATTAGAAATAAATAAAATCCTAATACACTTGTCAAAGTGACGTAAATGTAACCACAAATCGAAGATCCCGTATTTTTCTTTTCTCCCACGTGAAGCTCAATTGTTGTGAAATACTTTGTAATTGCAAGTAAAGTTCGGATAAGACAAAATCATGGCAGTACGCGTCCAATTTGAAAATAATAATGAAGTAGGAGTGTTCAGCAAATTGACAAATTCTTATTGCCTTGTCGCAATCGGTGGATCGGAAAACTTTTACAGCGTGTTCGAAGCAGAATTGTCTGAAACCATACCTGTGGTGCATGTGAGTATTGCAGGGTGCAGGATCATTGGCCGTATGACGGTCGGAAACAAAAATGGACTTCTGGTACCATCATCGACAACTGACACAGAGTTGCAACATATCAGAAACAGTTTACCGGACGCTGTCAAAGTGCAGCGGGTGGAAGAACGACTCAGTGCACTCGGAAACGTGATCGCCTGCAACGACTATGTGGCACTCGTGCACCCAGACCTGGACCGAGACACAGAGGAAATACTCGCTGATACATTGGATGTGGAAGTGTTCAGACAAACAGTCGCAGGTAATGTTTTAGTCGGATCGTACGCTGCGCTCAGTAATCGAGGCGGGCTTGTTCATCCCAAGACCACAATTCAAGACCAGGATGAATTGTCATCTCTGCTGCAAGTACCACTAGTGGCAGGCACAGTAAACAGAGGTAGTGACGTCATTGCTGCAGGAATGGTGGTCAACGACTGGTGTGCATTCTGTGGCTTAGACACAACATCAACGGAAATCTCAGTTATAGAAAGTGTGTTCAAGCTGAACGATGCTAAGCCCACAGCCATCACATCAACTATGCGAGCATCCCTCATTGACAGCATGTCCTAACATCGAATTATTGGTAGACCAGACTGTTTGTGATATTATTTGTGTAAATTCCGACCCACTGTGCACAGAAATTACAACTCATTGATCAGATTTCATACCAAACCAATGAGCCTTGAATTTAATGTTCTCTGTTTTATTTGTAAACATAAGAAAATAAATTTTGGATAATGTGAATTCTTTTTTATTAACTCGTTGAATACTATCATTATAGACACAATTATAGAAAAATAGGTTGCGGTCACCGGTGACTGCTTGGTGTTTGACAGTTTAATCGCTATTAACACACAAGTACCCTGAAATTCTTATTGGAATATTTGTTATTAAACCCATACTGGCTTGATTTTAATAAATAATTTACTGTAGTACCTGAACTGATACAAACAAGAGTTGGGTAAACAAGTGAAATAGCTGTATGTAATTACTCAGGAAGGGGATGTGCTGCAATAACAGTAACACAAGGCCACTTATAATACATTTTATTTATAAACATTTGTTAGATACAATCCATTCTATCTACAGTTGCCACATGTCTCTGGAAGTTTAATGGTTGCCAACACTAACTAAACCGTAACAAAATATTATGCCAAGCAATATCCTAAAGTTAAACTTCAACATAAGTTTACATAATTCTCTAACAATTCTGATTAAACAAGTGCAGTGTACTTGGGAAATTTAATATTTAAAATACCATTATAATGCTGTTTACTGAACTAGTATTCATTTCTCACAGTATGAAATATATTTTCCAGTACACTACAATCCAATTCCTCAAGCTCAAAAAATCAATTTCAAAAAACTCATTCACTCTAGTTTGAGTCCTCATACTTGTATGTTGTGCAATATAACATTGTGCAACTATCACAGGAAAACACTGCTTCATACAAAATTACTTGGATTAGAAGAAATTTCTTGGATGACTTTCAAATAATCTACTACATGTCTTCAGATGTTGCAAAACTTGTGTCATACCTGATTCAAAAGAAATTTATTGACATAAATGAAGACAATCATGTAAGTAAATAATTTTATTGCGAAATATTATTGGATTGCACAACATGTTATACTAAACTGAAATATAAAGTATGACTCATACTGAGTGGGCTCAAAACAGTTCTTAGTACTAAAGAGCACATTACAACTAATTTCAACAACAATCATAAACTCACAAATATTGCATATGTAACTCACAAAGCTTTGTTTCTGTTGTTGAAATATTCGTAAATAATATACACAAATATAATTTTTATATTTACAATTTATATCATGTTACATAAAACATAATTATTTGTGTAACCCGTGGCACGACATCCATAAATTAAAAGCGTTTTCTAAACCACAATAAATCTTTTAAATATGGCAACTAATATGAACCACCAATTACTGCACCAAATAACTGCATCGAGCCTACGGTAGTCAAAACATAAATAATTACCATCTAAAGCTATGTTTATGCGATAACAATACAAATGGCAACGCTGCTCAGTCATTGTCACAAATGGCCACAATTTAGGCACCAATATTCCCTTTCACCACTATTCAAAAATTGCCACAAGTGGACTTTAGCCTCCAAAAATGTTAATTTACAAAACAAGTGTTATAGGTAATTAGAAAATTAGATTTTCAAGAGAATCATTACAATAACCTTATAATTATATACAGGAAGGACACGAGTGGACACACCATTATTGTAAAATATAAATGCATCAGTAAGTACATGCTAAGAATGCGGTGAGTCATGGCTCTCAGACCGAGTATTGTTTGCTTACATATTGGACCTAGCGCATACTGCGTGGTGAGAAAAATGCTCAGTAAGAAAGATACATTTCTCTCTAGTCCTAAGTTACCTACATCAAAGATTGGACGACAAAATTACAAAACAGTTATATTATGATACTTCACAAAACTAAGCAGTCAGATAGTAAATATGTTCGTATCAACTTTTATATCAAGCTAAAGAGTCAGGACAACCCTCAAGACAAGGGAAAAGGAAAGCCTAACAATAGTTTTACTTAATATGTTGCAATAAAGTGAAGATGAATTTCGTTATCTATTTTTATTTGGGAGTGTTATCTATAACCGCGGGCGATTTAATAAACGATAGAATTATGTAAAGTCATGATAAGTCGAGACAATTATCGGAGGAACAATAGTTTACCATAACATCGACATATTTACTATTAAGATGGTGTTTTGTTTGGCAAGTTCGAGCCATTTGACAGAGACAAACAAACAAACTGCTGTGTGTATGATATTTGTAAGTATGTATGTTATCAGTATAAATACACAGAGAGAGAAGCAAGAGCTTCAAATATCACTCAATGTCGATGGCACACCGGTGTCGAAACTCGAAACATCACACGAAGATCACTAGTTATATTATTACATTGTATGGCCTAACTACATATTTATATAGAATAGCTTTCAATTAGTAGCAGTACATCGGTAAATATAACTTCCACAGGAGCAAAGGTTTACAGAATATACAAAAGTCGACCAAACCACGTCATGGCTCTAGCTAGTCATTTTAGAAGTAGGTAAGTCTCACCTACGGACACAAGTTTCATACGCAAGCTCCTAACGCAATGCCTACAATATTATAGGAAGAAAGTGCTATTTAGAAAGGTAGGTAGCTCTAACTCGTGTAGATTTGTACAAAAACGTTAAATTTCCGCCGAAAACAAGTGGCGGTGCCGAGTGGAAAAATAGACTCTGCGTAAAGATAAAGGTTCCTAGAGACGTAGTGGGCTGGGCAGCCGTTAGTACGATATAAGAATATGTCCCAGACTCCTTGATACTATTCCTTTTAAGATAATGTATGAAAACGTTTACGTATTTGTTATTCAGTGTTGCAAACTCGAGAAGTATGTACATATTTTTTGTTATCCCAGCACACTACAGTCTACTATTGACAGTGTTGACTTTGACTTGGGACAGACTGCCCTATATCTGAGAGTTGCAACATTTTTAGGTTTAATATTCGAGAAAGCTGTACATCATGAAACACACGAATCAAATACATGAAAAGTGATAAGTTAGCTATTTTCTTAAATACACTATGAATAGTGTTTCATGATTATATTACTGATTGATAAATACATATAGTTTATATACCACTAACGTCCCAAAGTCATTACCGTCACATAAATACATCACCGGTTTAGATATGTAGCGTCGTTGTGCGAGACTAGGTATGTATGAGTTAGTGAGTTACAAGATATTAGTAATGTTTATAAATGTATACTTGGATATGACAATATGAGATCTTCACACAAAAGCTTATGATGTTGATAATTTATTGTAAATAGACATTTTCTTTGGATAACACCAATAGTCCAATATATTCCAATCAGTAGAGGAACAAATTTCATGATATTCTCGCCAGTGTACATAGGTACTATGTAACATTTGAATTCGAAAAACAGACTTATAACTAATACTGATTTTAACCAAATGTGAGCTTTATGTGGTTAAAGTTACGTTACATAACTATTTACGTGAGTGACTTCCGTAAAATTGATTAGGGCACAGCCAAAATTTTCAAAGTTAAACTTTTTAATCAAATGTTATTTTTATTATTGATGAAATGATGACAAGGATCTCATTTTCGTGACAGTGTAGCTCCCTATTTGCGCGTGCCGTGAGCAATAATTCAGAGCAATATATTGAGAATGCGACACAAGATCCATACTAGTTTTAGAAATAAGTTTAAACTACTCACGGTAGATACCACTACGTAACGATAGTGGTGCCCTGGACTAGTTGGAATGAAGGTGGAAGCTACGATATCTTGAAAATGAAGATCTAAGCATCATTTGCTAGACTCTAGGACTGCATCGTCCAGCTTCAGGACATATAAGACCAGATTAGAAGGTCTGGATAGTGTGGGGCCCGGTGTAAAATTCGATATTCCTGATACCCTGGAGTCCGGGCTCGCGTGCGTGGCCTAGAAGTGGTGCGAGTTGGCCGAGGCAGTCATCCCGGGCTCCGGCCGCACGCGCTCGTAGAACAACATGTAGGCAGAGCATCGGAGCACCTCCTGCAGGGACACCTCGTGAACTAGCGTGTCCGAGGTGTACCACCATCTTGAAAGCAAACATAACGATTCCCGAAATTGTAACTCAAATAATTCATTTCATCTTAATTTAAAGATTTCCTATGAGTTAACGTACCTCTTGGCCTCGAACCCGTTCCCGCGTCGGTAGGTGGCGAAGTGCCCGGAGCGTGGGCCCCCAACGTGTAGCACGGCGGCGCTGAGCCGGTACAGCGCGGCGGCTTCGCCCCCCGCGGCCCCGCCCTCCGCCGACAGCACCGACAGGCCCGCGCGGAGCCGGCCCTCGCCCACCAGGGATAGCAGGTCCACTTGCTGAATACAAACAAACAAACCATCATCATACTACGGCAGCAAACTGTTGAATTAATCTCAATACAGATTTGTTTAACAGACAATCCATTATGAAACATCGTCGTTCCAAAACTGTAAACAGTACTTATGCAGCGTACCTTGGGCTGCTGCACGGCGGAGTAGGGCGCCATGTTGAGTGTCTCTGGGAAGGCCACGAACTCCCCGCGCTTGTTCAGCGCTCCGCCCAGCCACTCCACGCGACCGATGTGCAGGCACAGGCAGTATGGTAGCTGGAGAGAGCCAACAAATTCATTAGTCGCTATAACTTTACCTTCAACTGTACATTCAGCTACAGTTCAAAGTAGATGTAAATGCATACCTTCCCGAAGCTAACAGTCCGTATGTGCTTGGTGTATGCCGAGGCGGGCGCGGGGGCGGGGGCGGCGGGGGCGGGGGCGGCGAGGGGGGCGGGGTCCGGGCAACACTTGCTGCAGCGCACGCCCTTCACCATCTCCGGCGCAGTGAAGGCACGGAGCAGGCCTGCCGGGCATACACTTAACTGATACTTTGCTAACAGGTATGCACCTACATATCGCTTAACATTCTATGTATGTACTTATATAAAACTTAATTTCAATTTTAACATTGATTTGCAATTGACGAAACTTTGTCTTTTTAATTCGAAAACAGATTTATCATAACTACATCCACATATTACAATTATAAACTTCCACTATCTGTTTGATAAGAGCGAAGTTATTATTTCCTTGTACGATATTAGTTCCGAAGGTAAAACATATTGAACATGCATACGGTACTACGTATCACTATCGCAGAGCAACTTACCCGCCAGACTGTATGCCCCGTTCACACTAATACTTGCGTTGGCCATGGACAACGAGATGCTGTCAAACTTGTCGTACCGGATTGGACTCTGAGAACACCATTGTGTATTACACTCACATACAGTAATATCTGAACATACAGCTATAACTTGGACGTCGGAGTACTTAGAAATAATACTTGTATTGAGGGAACATGGTAATGGTTATTTAGTATAGAACCTGTGACAATGTTATCTAGTCATGTTACCTTGTGGGAGCAGACAGTGCACTGCAGGCGCGAGGCGAGGGTGCCGCGGAAGGGGGGCGCGGGGGGGGGCCGCGCCACCGCCGGCGTCACCCAGCGCCGCCCCACCGAGCTCAGGTGGCACAGCGAACGAGACACACCCTTCGTCAGGCGCGGGGGCTCCATCATTGGCTCTACAAAATGAGGAAAATATTTTTAATTTTTATACGCATCTTTTAGTTTGCCTCTCTCCATGTCTCCAAAAGCAGAAAGATTTACAGAAAAACAAATATTTGTTGCAACTATTATACTGTTAGGAGAAGTCATATTACCTGGCTCAATAAGGTCTGGTTCATCAGCAGGTGCTGCCGAGGCAGGCCTTATGGAGAGCGCGGACGGAGTGGGCGGCGTGGAGTCAGCGCGCAGCGGGTGCGGCGCGGCGGGCGGGGACGCGGGGGACGCCAGCGCGGACCACGCGCGACTCCCGCCCAGACCCAGCGCGTCGGACAGGCAGCCCGGCTAGGGAAAGATATACCACTTACAGAGACGGTAAATAAACAAAACTGCAAGAAAACCTTACATTCACCCAAAATATTTAGTGATTGACTAATAAAAATAGATTGGCATATGCCAATAATAAGTTATAGTGTAAGGGCAAACTAATTGACATCTAATGAACTTTACAGGAGCTTAAAACATCAAACAATATTTAAGTTTGCATAGTGTACACTACACTGTACAACATTGATGTATTAAATATTAAATGTACCTTTTTAGACATGCTATTGGTCTCTTCCTCGATGCAGGACAGTAACACATGCAGCAGTTCATGGGCATCTTGCTGATCAGCGGGCACCACCCACCCGGCCGCACGCAGCGCCTGCAGTACTCCCAGCGGACACACGGGGGTGCCACGGGCAGACTCATGTGTGCCATTTACAACTGTGTAAATACAAGTTGTGAGAAAAAGACTAATAAAGCTGTTGAGCAAGGACCTCAACATCCACTGACATATATCATATTGATTACAAAGTCTGTTGTTTTGTTAGGCAGTAGATTTTCTATGTTTTAGGTACCAATATAAAGCATGATATTATGTAATGAAAGACTAGTTCCATTTTATGTAACACACAACATTCATGCAACAGGTACATGTTTTAATTTGTGAAACATTCAGGAAACAATAGTATGTTTAGATTCAACTGTGGACTACTCTCTCCATGGAGTCTGTTTACATTTATAACATTCTTTCTAACCCCAGCCAAATCTAATCATCATTTATCTAGATATTTACATTTCACAGAAGGTGCATTACCACCATTGATAATCACCAGAGGACATAACAATATTTTATTCATGCTTCGTGTATGGTGAAACACCAAGAATTTTTAACAGTTCCAATATTAAATATTAATAATAGCGGTTGAGATAGCACTTGTAAATATTTCAAATATTTTCTAAATAGGTTACATTATGGTTAAATAATTACCTTCAATGACTGTATACAATGTAGTGATCATACTGTTGTGGCCATCAGCCTTTGCATACTTTTTGAGCCATTCAATGAAAGTGGGACAGGCGGCGAGTGCCTGCAGCAATGTATTGAGAAAACAAGTCCTTCCCAGGTTCTGTAGGCCAGCAATCTGTCCGCGTCTTTTGCGCACCTTCGGAGCCCCACCAGGACCCCACAGAACGAAGGCTCCGACAACTACAGCGGCGGTGAGCCCCGCGGCCACCAAAATCCTGTCTCCACTATCCATCGTCCAAAATTTATGAGTGATACTCTCACTTTGCTTCACATAATAACAGTTTTATGTGTTCAGAACATTATCGAAATTATTTATGCGATTAACACGCTGTTATTGCGTTTTTTTTTGTTTAGAAAAAATCCATTGAAAATGAAAACCTCCAGTTGACGGCCAAAATCTGACACTTCAATTTTTTAATGAAATGAATCTTTGATCACGCAGATTCAAAAAAGTACAATCATTGTTTTGATTTACAACTTCAAGTTACATGTAGAGTCCTAGCTATTTATAAAAATCCAAATTTGCATTTGGATCTATTTTATGCACAAATTTTGCGTATTTTCTTTTTAATATAAACTAAATAACTAGCATGGCATAGACATGCCAAAAAAATAAAGTAACGAACCATAATGCTAATCTGACAGTTGTATGACGCTGTCAAGGCAAGAATTTAGAATAGAAGAAACAAAAAAAATTGTTCATGCATGTTGTGTTGTTGCATGATTGTTGTACTTGTAGTTGACAAGCAACCTCAAAAAACTCAAAACATTATTAATGAACATAATCGTTAGAATTTTATAGTGTCGAGGAATATAATGATTCAAATCCTTATCACCTTCCTGTTTTTTAGACGGTGTAGATTCCCTAGTTTTCTTAGTACTGATCATGCGAATTGTATGTTTATTGTACAGTTTGAAATATTGTTTTGATACATTGGATATAAAGTTTATTAATAATGATACCGTCGAATACTATATGCGTGTCCCAGGAGGGGCCGGCAAACGCATTGGCTCTCAATAAAGATTGTTCACAAGTGGTGATTGCTGGACGCAATGGTAACGTTTTTAAATTCTGCTATTTAACTTTGTTATTTAATATTTGCTGATTTTATCTATTTCACTTTTTCTTTCAGTATTCAAAGTATTTTCTATCGGAGAAAATGATTTCTCCGAAGTTTGTAACTTGAGGGTTGGGAAAAATTTAAATTTGAATTTTTCATCCATTGATGTTGCTTGGAGTACTATTGAAGGTAAGTAATATTGAATTGAATCAAATTTCTTATAACGTAGCAAGTGTCTGATCACACAACAATCGCTAATTTCTGTAACAAACGTGATTTACCTAATGTCATGCCCCGGTAAATTACAATTGTTTTACTACCGACAACTGATAAGCACTTTGACGAAGTTTCAGTCTCAGTCTATATATATGTTTTGACATAATACTTATTTCTTATAATTAGGTTAATTAGAGTGACTCATTTTATATTTAGGCCGGTTTTTCAATGCTTACTTAATTTTATTAGAGGAATAACTTTTCTTCCATACTAAAACTGTCAACTGTCAAATTTATTCTATGTTTTGATAAGAATTAAACTGTCAAACACCAAGCGGTCACCGGTGACCGCAACCTATTGTTCTATAATTGTGTCTATAATGACGGTACTCGACAAGTTAACTGTTGATAAAAAAATTGACTATTAAACTGTCAAACACCAAGCGGTCATCGGTGACCGCAACCTATTGTCTATAATGACAGTACTCAACGAGTTAAACAATAAAAGTTAGCTAACTTGTTAACTTCTTTATAGTTCTTGATAATATGTACAAATCATAATAACTATGATCTTGCAGAGAACACACTTGCGACTGCAGCTACCAATGGAGCAGTGGTGGTATGGAACCTGGGCCGCTCCGGCCGTTCTAAGCAGGAACATGTCTTCTCTGATCATAAGAGGACTGTTAACAAAGTACATACTCCATCTTTCTGACATTTCTATCAAGAGAATTTGGACTGTATCACAAAATGATAAAGTTGAAAATCTATTCATTGCTTTGAATTTCTTCATAGCAAGAATATGAGAATATTTCTTAGCCCTACCATGCATAGTTGAATTAAAAAGTATTGTGTACTTACATGATAAAGATTTTAATTTAATACTATTTTAAGCTAAAATGTTTGTAGATAAGCTCTGAATTTGGAACACTGACCTGTGATTGTCGAAGTCACAACTAGTGCTCAGCAGTGGTTCATAGAATGTGAAGCATGTTATCATATTGTCAACATTATTACTGGCAGTGCACTTTTGTGTAAATCATAACTGTTATAAAATGAATTTTACATCTAATATGGACTCTTATAAACTAGCAGGCAATGTTGTCTTTGTGTTGAATTGCCATATATTGACATTATCCAGGTGAGCTTCCACCTGACAGAGCCAGCTCTGCTGATATCTGGCTCACAAGATGGCATGATGAAATGCTTCGACCTGCGTATGAAGGAAGTAGCCAGGACTTTTATAAGGTAAGGTATACAGAGGTGAATTACTGAACATAAAAAAAAATCTAGGATTTTTTATTAATTTCAGTAATGAATGGAAATTTACTTTATATGTTGTAACTGGCAGATGGAACTCCTATTTCTTTCTTTTTGGGCATATAAAGTCTTATAACTGGATGGAAGAAAAATGTGTTGTAGGTAGCCATATTTTACACCATTTTATTCTGACGTCCAAATTCCTAAGTTGACCTGTATAATTGACTACAGCAACACAGAGTCGATCCGCGACGTGCAGTTCAGCCCGCACCAGGCGCACTCGTTCGCGGCCGTGTCGGAGAACGGGAACGTCCAGCTGTGGGACGTGCGGCGCCACGAGCGCTGCCTCATGCAGTTCACGGCGCACTCCGGACCTGTCTTCGCATGCGACTGGCATCCTGAGCAGCCCTGGCTCGCTACCGCTTCCAGGGATAAAACTATAAAGGTAATGTTTATATCTCAACTATTATAGTTATGTTCTTCAATTAATTTACGTGTCCAATTTATAAAGAAAATACGGTTCATTAAAAATACTTGCTATCTCTGTACATATAGCAATCTTCTAGCTTAAATCATTTTCAAGCTAAACAATTGAAATAAGTACAAATTCCAGAAGGTAACTTTCTTCAGGATTCAATATACCACAATCAGAAGCTAGTTCATGGACAAACAAACATTTGCAACTTATTTATTTAGTAAGAATAACAATATATTCATTTATTTGTTGTTACTTAAATTATGAACAAGACAGGTACATGCCTATAAGCTATTAACAAAAGGTTATGTCTGTCTGACTATCGCAGTCTATTAGATAAACAACTAGGTCGCGAGATATCGCGGCCGGTGTACAAATGTCAATAGTTTCACTGCAAGTTACGCAGTTATTGTAATGTTACTGTCCTGTTACATCACTTACATCACTGCTTGTTGCAGACATGGTTGCATAGTATTTATTTAAATACTATTATTTATTAGCCAATTTTAAAAAGAGGACAGTGTTTTGTCATCTATTTTCGGTAGAATAAACAAATAATTGATTGATAATATGAACTTGAATATGTTATGAATAAAATCAAAACCAGACACAATTTACATGTCAGTTCATACTCAATGCAAATACAAGTTCAGACTGCAAGTAATTAATGTTTGTGTAAAATGTTACAAGTTATATAAAATTAAGATCTTTATACAAAGCCGAGCAGTTAATTAAGAAAATTCAAATACTATTAGGTCATATCGATGTTCAAGCCTTTCTAAGTGCTGTAGTAGCCCTAAGCACACTTAATTACCTAATTAGCCAACAATTGTGTCTAGTCTAGACGTTATCTGCGCGGCGCGCGTGTAGATATGGAGCACTGACATCATCGCAAGGACTGCGCGGGGAACTTTGTTGCTAACCCTATATATACTATTATTTTCTATCTGTTGGGCATGATTAAATGATACGTGATGCATACTAAATATTTTTTATTAGTCCTTGAATGTATTTAAACCTTCTTTTTCAGCTAAAGTAAGTATAGTATATTCGAACATTATTTAAAGTGAAGTGTTGTATGCTCTACTAAACTTTTGCCAAACAGGACATAAATTGATCAGTGCAAACTAGAAATTAAGAAATATTCTTTTGATTGGAATATCATTATATTTACAGGTGTGGGACATTGTAGCAAAACCGAATCTGGAGCATACCATCTACACCATAGCATCTGTCGGACATGTCAAGTGGAGGCCACAGAAAACGTATGTTGAAGAAAATACATTAAAATATTTACAGATTTTTTTATGCCCATATTTAGCTGTTTTAGTTTTTGTAAAAATATATTTGTAAAAACTAGTAGTAATAATTATTTGCGAACTAACAGAAAAAATTTAAACTTTGAATGAGTTGGGATGGGAAGTTGTTCCATGACATTGACCGTATTTAGTTGAGAGTCGGTACGGAGAAACAATAAAGTGTGGCGTGGTCCCGGGCCAGGTACCAGGTGGCGTCGTGCGCGCTGGTGCTGGACTGCGCGGTGCACGTGTGGGACGTGCGGCGCCCGCACGTGCCGCTGGCCACCTTCGCCGAGCACCGCGACGTCACCACCGCCATCGCCTGGCTCGCGCAGCCGCACTCCTTCCTGTCCACCAGCAGGGTGCGTGCCTGGCTCATCTATATGTTCTTGTTTTACTATACAAAGCTGAACAGTTTGTTTGTTTCAATCTGCGAACCTTAGCAACTGCTGTTTCAATTTAAATATTTTTTTTTGTTGGTTAGTATATTTATCAGGGAAGGCTAGGCTATAAAACATTTGTAATTTGGGGGTCGCTTGCTTGGGACGTGAGAAATTCGTCTTAGCTTTGTTCAATTTTATTGTTAAGGATAGGGCGAGAAACAAGCAGACAGATCATAAATTACTGATGCTTTGCCGGTGTTGTGAGCCTGAAACATTGAAAGTCCAGTTGCAAGTATGGTCGTGTCGTGTCCAGGACTGCAGCCTGTACCGGCACCGGTTCAGCTCGGCGGCGCACCCCGTGCTGTGGGCCAACCCGCACGGCGTGTGCGTGTCGGCGCGCGGCGACGTCGCGCACGCCGCGCCCGAGCGCCCGCTGCCCGCGCTGCCCGCCCGCGCCGCGCGCCTCGAGCGCCTCGTGCCCGGCCTCGGGTAACTACGGGACACGCTCGTACTAGCCACGGATCACCATCATGACTCCATTCCCCACACGTTCACGATGTGCACAGACGCAAGCAGCCGACGGCGGGCTCTCTGTCGGCGGGGGCGCAGGCCGCCCTGGAGCGCGCCTTCCCCGGGGGCGCGGCCTCCACCCTGCTCCGCTACAGCGCGCCCCCGCACAACGCGCTGCTACAGTGCGCCGCGCACTACCGCATGCGGGGCGCGCCCCCGCACGTGCTCGCGGAACACAACGCCAACGTCGCGCGCGCCAACAACCGACACATGGTACGTGTCCCGAGTATCGCACGCTAGGTCCATCAAACTGTTGAGTCGTGCTGAGCGCCGCCATCGCCGCAGGCGCAGCACGTGTGGGAGGTGGTCCGCTGCGAGTACGCGGCGCGCGCGGCGGGGCGTGGCAGCCCGGCGCCGGCCCGCAGCCGCGAGCCGCCGCGCCCCGAGCCCCCGCCCCTGCCGCCCTACACGCACACGTACAAGTGAGTCATACACACAGTCTACATACATCCCACTAACTTGTCTTACAGTACTTAGGTCTTGCTCCTTTGTCGAAGCACATATTGGCAGCAGCAAGAGAACTCGTAAAGAATGGATCGTATAAGTATCGTTGGGCTTCGAAAGAAAATATATTACTTCGTAAACAGGAGGGACAACCCGCCATTGTCATTAAATCTTTGAGACAAATTATGGATCTCGCCTCAGAATGACTGCATGCTGAGGAACAATGTTATGGTGCAAGGTCATGGTATCTGTTTACATTATCTTGCTTTCTTTCTAATGTTGCTGCTTATTACTATGTGTGTCAACTTTTTATTAATTTCCCTAGTGTTAACTCGTCTCACAACATATTGGGTACACTGACTATCTTATCATTTTTTAAATACTGTTTTTTATGTACCTATATTAACATCATATATGTATATATTATTATTTAAAATTATAACAATATATTTTATCTATGTCAAGTCCGATATCAAAGAAAATTCAATACTAGTCCTAGGAACTCTAATCCTCAACCAAAGACATCCTGACATACCAAATGTAAACACCACAACCCCCTTCCAATGGATAACATAGATGAGGTAGTCGCTGATGTTGATCGAAATATCAGCGTAGGTAATTCGTTTTTGGTTGAGGTTCCAGAAGTCTTTTCGGAATATAAACTTGACACTGGAATTTCTTTAAAAATTATCGTAGCATTCACAGAAATTTTGAGGATTTTAAGGTACTCCTAGCACGAAGCCATTTAAGTTATGACGTCATTATACTTACCGAATGTTGGCTCCAAGGAGCAAGCGTGATACCAAGTTTGGACCAATAAACAGCTTTTCAAACTTTAAACTAGTTATATCAATCAAAATAGTGGTGTAGTCGTATATATAAGGAGTCATTTAACTGGCATCACAGTATATGAACCAAATATTATGGATGCTGATTGCTTGATAGTAAAAATCGACAATAGCCATGCCTTTGTTTGCATGTATAGATCACCATCTTTTGCATCAATCACTAAGTTTCTCGGTTCTTTGGATAGACTTTTTGGATATTAAACAAGTACCTAACATTTACTTAACTGGAGATATAAATGTTGATATCGGTGACCATAGTACGGACAAAGATCCGACGACTACTTGAATCTTCTTGCAACACACTGTCTGTTGCCTAGTCATCAATTTCCGACGCGCTTTAACAAATGTATTGATCACTGTTTTGTTAAATCAAAGAATAAAATTTTAACTGTTATCTGTCAGTCGTCAATTATTGATCATAGCAGTATGTATGTTAATATACGTTTAACTCACTGGCACAACAATAAACAAAAAGAATTTCTGCGGAAACTAAATTATGAAACGGTTTATGAACTAATGCGAAAATTGGACTGGGCGAATTAACTACGTTAGAAGAATCAAATAAGGCCACTGAATCGTTTATTGAGACCTTATCTGAAATAATAAATAAAAGTAGTAGCACTGTCGTTGTGCCCAATAGGCGCCAAACTTTCCAACCATGGGTTACCCCAGGACTGTTGCGTTGCATTCGATTTAGAGACACACTGCACAAGAGGTATCTAAAGACACCCAATAATCAGAATCTAGAAATGACATACAAACGATATAGAAATTTTTGTAACAATATTCTTCATAAACTAAAAAATGACTATGATAAAACTAACTTAGAAAACAGTAGAGGAGACATAAAGAAAACATGGAATGTCATAAAGCATGTATGTAATCTCGGAGTTAAAGATAAATCACAGGTATCAACTGAATTAGTAAAACAAAAGTCAACACCGCGAGACTCTGTCGATTATTTTTGTTAATATAGGCTCTAAATTATCAAAAAGCATTCTAAAAAAATTACAACTAAAAGAGCATGAACGTGTGCAAAAAAATAAATCTGCGTATGGTGTTGTGGACTCTTTTTGCTGTAGGATACTGATGAAGTGGAGGTACGTAAAACTATTGTATCACTAAAAAACACGAAATGTACAGGACAAGATGGAATATCAGCTGATTTTATTAAAAAAACATGTAAATTTATTATTACGCCCTTAACTCACATATTTAATTTATGCATCTCATCGGGGAAATTTCCAAAAATACTGAAGGAGTCCTTAGTTATACCTATGTTTAAATCGGGTGAAAAAAAATTGTATCACTAACTACCGTCCAATTTCCCTTTTATCTACACTGGCTAAAGTTCTCGAAAAAATAATGAACAATCGGCTTGTTAGTTATTTGGATAAAAACAATATCCTTTCACAAAATCAGTTTGGTTTTAGGAAACATACATCGACCACAGACGCAGTTGAAACTTGGTAACAAGTGTGGCTGACTATCTCGACTCAAAGAAAAAATGCCTTGGTATATTTTTGGATTTAGCCAAGGCATTTGACACCGTTTCAATTCCTCTGCTCATAAATAAATTGGAGGCTATAGGTATACGCGGAAAACCACTTGATTTGTTCCAAGATTACTTAAAATTGGTAATAATGTTAGCTCTAAACAAAACGTTAATTTCGGTGTGCCTCAAGGACCAGTGCTTGGACCAAATGGACTTGGTCAAAATACCAATGATTGTGATTGTTTCTTGTTGTCCGCAACGGACAGTACTAAATGTCTTGGTATCGAGATTGACAAAAATTTGAACTGGAAATAGCACATAAGTAATTTAAAAACTCGCATACGCAAACTCATACCAATTTTCAAAAAGATTAGGAATTTACAGGACAAATCCACTAACAAAACTGTTTACTTCACATTGTGTCGATCTATACTTTCTTATGGTATTTCGGCTTGGGGTGGTGCTGGAATAAGTAATATCATAAAAATAGAAAGGGTTCATCGATGTATCCTAAAGGTCATAAACTTCAAAAAAATTACGTATCCCACGACTGAACTATACAAAGATTTGAGGTTTGAAACATTCGTCAACTTTTTATACAGAGTATAGTGCTAAAACAGCATATCAAAAAAAGGCCAATAAATAAATCTTCCAGAAGATCACATGAGGTGTGCGATGTCCCAGCCTGTAAAACAACATTTGCTCAAAGTTTCTTTTTCCTGGCTCCACTATTGTACAATCGTATAAGTAAAGTAAAACCCTTAAAAGATATGACAAGACATGCTTGCAGAAAGGCACTGGATGAGTGTCTCGGTAAATATATGAGTTCAAGACTAATTTATTTATAAATATTCTTCATACCAGTAAATTTTATTTATCATACATACCTAGACCTACCCATATAGATTTATTATTTACTAGCTTTTACCCGCGGCTTCGCTCGCGTCACAAAAGGATAAAAAGTAGCCTATGTGACCAATACACACAGCACCATCTATACCAATACTTTTGTTGGAAATATCAATTTTTTCCGGGATAAAAAGTACCCTATTATTTAATCTGGACTTCTAACTTTACATCTGCAAAAAATCAAAGCAATCGGTTTTGTAGTTACGGCGTGAAAGCAAAACAAACAAACAAACAAACTCACTTTCCGATTTTTAATATTAGTAAGGATTTTGTACCAAATGCTTCAAAATATTTACATTTACATTAATAATGTTAATACTTAAATGTTTACTCCTCATTACTTTACGAGGTCATAACTACTGAGTGGGAGAACTATACGTGGGTACATGAAGTATACATTACGCATATATCAAAGGTACATACCGAAAACGAGTTGCACACAATTATTAGATAGTTACTGATTTTTGATTGATCACCAGTTACATTTTTCGCACCACATTTTTGTCTGAAAGTTTTGCATGTACTATTTGTTCATACTTCGTGGCTTGTACCTTTTTTTTTATACTTTATAGGTCGACGTTTGACCACCATCTCGCCTGATGGTAAGTGATGATATGGCCGACGATGGAGCACGCCTACCTATGAGCAACCTGTTCACTCGGGACATGAAGACACCCAAGTCATATTTGACGGAAAACACAGCCTCTGGCAAGGAATTCCATTCCTTAGCGGTTCGCATGAGGAAGCTTGACGCGAAACGCTTCGTGCAATGGGTGGAATGTCCACCATATAAGGGTGGCGCCCCGCCGTTCGTCTGGTGGTACGGTGGTGAAATGGACTAAGGGGAATAAGTTCGTGCAATTCCTACGCACACTTACCGAAATGTATCCGATAGAAGACCGAAAGGCTTGCGACTTTGCGGCTGTGATCGAGGCTTTGTAGCCGAGCCTCCACAAACGAATCGTCATCGACGAGCTTCTTAGCACGCCTCTCGATGGATTCGAGGGCTTCTAACTGGTATTTCGCCGAGCCATCCCAAAGATGGGAGCAGTACTCCATACACGACCGAACTTGTGTTTGGTAAAGAGTGAGCAACTGCTCCGGCGTGAAGTACCGTCTCACCCTCGACAGGACACCCAACTTTCTACCGGCCAGTTGCGCCTTTGTCTCGATATACGAACCAAAATTGAGAGTGTGCGTCAGAGTTACGCCGAGAAGCTCGAGACGGTCACCCATCGGAAAGGACACACCTCGAAAGTAGGAGTCGGTGGGAACCGACTCCGTTTAGCGGAAAATAGACACGCCTGGGTTTTGCTGACATTGAACCTGACCAGATTGGCTTCACCCCAATCGGAGACCGCCTGCAAGGACAGGTTCAGACGATTTACCATAGATTCTCTTAGAGACTGGATTTGAGTTGCACTGGTTCGCGCATCGGACACATTCCTCTCAACGGTGCTGTCATCTGCGTACCCAAAGATACTGGGCTGGAGCAGGTCATTAATGTGCAACAAAAAAAGTGTTGCTGAGAGTATTGGCCTTAGAGGAACCCCGGCATTAATACCAAGTGGATTGGATGAGCAGCCATCAATGACCACTCGGATCGATCGATCCCTCAGGAAGTCTGTTATCCGAGACATCGAGCGATACGGCTAACGCTTCCCCGCGTTTCTCGATGGCCTCGCTCCAGATGTGAGTGGCATATACAAGAAGGTCCCCAGTAGATCGGTTTCGGCGAAATCCGTATTGCTGATCACTAAGGAGATCTTTACCTTCAAGGTATGCCAGGAGCCTGTTATTCAGTATACGTTCGACCGAGATAGGTCTGTATTTACTAGGGTCGGCACGGCTACCTTTTTTTGGCACAGGTTGCACGTTGGCCAACTTCCGTGCTTTCGGCACTTGACCAGTCTCCAAAGATAGGCGAAATAGACTTGTCAAGATTGGAGCTAACTCAGGTGCAGAAGTTTTCAGTACCACGGCCGGGATTCCATCGGGACCACTGGCTTTGTCTGGCACGTCCAGGTTGCACAACGTTCTGCAGACCTCCTTCTGTCGAATGCGAATGTCCGATATGTTAGTCTCGCATACTCGGTGTAAAGAAGGTGGTGAAGCGCCACTAGCTTCAAGACGCGAAGACTCCGCAAAAAGAGAGGCGAATAAGTTCGCTTTCTCTATTGCGGTGTGAGCCAGCGTCTGGTATAAAATTATTAGTAGTTATAAAATCAAAGCTATTAGCAAGCCTTATACTTAACCTATGAATATCAGTCGCGGAGAACCTAACGGGTAACCGCGGCTCCGGCTCGACGTGCAGAAGGAACGAGGTGGTTTTTAGTCAGTAAGAGTCTGACACTCCCTCCCGCCTCACTCAGGCGGGAGCAGTCATACAATGATTTTCCCCCCTTAAAAAAACCTATGAATATCAATCATAACACGTTTGATATTAATTTTTTACGAACCTCGTAATGCATTCTCCAGTAGCGCAGTGGAGGAGGAGCCACTTGAGGAAGTGGAGGAGTGGGCAGAGACTCAGTTCCACAACAGTGGGGTGCTGGGCAAGCCCACGCTCAGTATCTACATACCGCCCAGCAAGCCGTCCAAACACGCGCGCTCGCTGGACGATGGTGAGCCAATATTCACCCTATTAGTTAGACATTGTGAAATGTATTATTTAGTAACTATCCGTATCGGATAAATTGCTAATTACTTGTGATTTGTGATGGTGTAGAGAACTCAGGCTGGGTGTCGGCCGCATCAGCTCACTACGTGGATGTAGACGCAGCAGATTGGACTCTGCCCGAGGAGGCATTCCCTCTCCGCAGCGCGCCCCCGCCCCCGCACGCACTGGGGGCGCACGCCACCCCCGCGCCCACCGCGCCCCCGCACGCCCTGCGCCACGATGACAAGGACCTCACAGGTCACTGCAGGTTTTATTTTACACAGGCATTTGCAGCTGGAGTATAAAGTTAATAAATGTTCGTGTATCGTACAGTACACCGCAGCAGTGGGGGTGGCGGTGGAACCTCCCCGGGGGGCAGCTCGTCCCCGGGGAGCGGGTCCAGCGGGTCCAGTGGGTCAACGGGGTCCAATGGGTCCGCCTGCACCGCGCCACCCAACCTTGAACACTCCGGGTATCATCACCACAATAACATGCATGTATGTTGATCGTAAGAAAAATTGTTATCTTTTTGAACTTTGAATAATGTCCTAAGATAAGTATTTGAATTTTACCATAAGGTCAACATTCGCGTCAACCTTACATGTCCAATGATAACTATAATATTGTCTTTACTATTTTGACGATATCAAACTGATTGTATAATCAGTTTTGAATAACTGACTTTGATAATCCTAACTACTTAGGATCGAAGTATAAATAGCTGTTTACAGTAGTACAGATGGACCATCTTGTTTAGTTAATTATTATGAACTCAATTTTTAATTAGAATTTTCGATATCCCTAATGATGTAGTTGTCGGGATAATACAGTATGTGTGTGGTATCTCAGATGGAGGAGGGTGGAGAGGGTTGTGATGGGGGGCTGGCCATCCGAGTGGGAGACAATCGCAGCCCACAGTTGGACGTGGCCCCACTACTGGCCGCGGCACTGCGGCAACATGCAGACCTGGGGGACGTGCAGACACCTGCTGTAGTGATGCTGGTGTTGCAGGACCATCGGTATATTGTCACCTAGCTATACATAGGAACAGGTAGCTAGACACCACCTGTCGTATGTCGTGTGTGTACAGGAGCGACCTGTTCCCGTACATCGAGGAGAGTCTGCAGGAGCACTGGCTGCTCGGGTACATCGAGCTGCTGCAGCGACACAAGCTGTGGAACATCGCCACCGAGGTAGGTGGCGGGGGGCGGGGGCGGGGGCGCGCGGGCGCAGGCAGTAACGCGTGCTGGGTGCAGGTGGTGCGCAGCGCGTGGGTGGGGTCGGTGTGGGCGGTGTCGCAGCAGTCCACGAGCGTGGCGCTGTGCTGCGGGCGCTGCGGGCGGCGCTGGCGGCGCGCGGCCTGCGACTGCGCGGGCGGCGGCGCGGCCGTGTGCGCCGTGTGCCGGCGCGTGGTGCGCGGGCTGTACGCGTGGTGCCAGGGCTGCGGCCACGGCGGCCACCTGGCGCACATGCGCGCCTGGCTGCACCGGCACCAGCTGTGCCCCGCCGGCTGCGCGCACCGCTGCCAGCTGGCCTGACGCTGGCCGCTGCATCGTTGCCAGCTCGCGTCACCGCTGCGGACGCAATCTACGCATAGCTTCCGACCGCTACGAACGCATCTCGTTCCTACATATTAACTTTTAAGAACAAACCTATAATTATTCTCTAAAATTAAGAAACATCACAAAAAATATTGCGTCATGTAAGCAGCTCTGTAATAAAGTTATGCCCAATTTGCTAAATCTGTTGAATACATAGTAACGCCTAGTCGATATCTCTAGTCGTTGTTATAAAAGACCTGCTAGTAATGAACAACTTGTGACACAAACTATTTCCAACCTTATTCCCAGTTCAACATAACAAAATTAATTTAACATAAAACCTCGAATTTTTATTCAATGATTCGGAGGATTTCCTATAAAAAGACAACTTTATTAACAATGACGGCAACATAATACGTAACGTACCACACTGAACATACTCATACATTACCCGTAGTACTTAATTTGTTTTTCAAAATGTATAATTATATTCTCTAGAAGGTATACCAATAACTGATAACTTTATAAACGCATATTTTATGAAGTTGATTTCTTTATATTTTCGTTTTAATGTGAATAGTTACGAATGACAAGAATCAATGTGTATTCATAGACTGATTTAATAATAATCTTGTATATTTTTATAATTATAAAATAAAGTAAATAATAAACGATACTTTTTTACACAATTGTTTTATTACATTATAATAATAAATTATTATTTACAGAAATATTCATAATAATCGAGTAACTATGTATAAGCTGGTTTGGCAAGACAGCTTTAAGGAAACGCGAGAGGAGAAAAACCTGGATTTGGGATCGGTTTGAGAACTATTAAGTTTGAAAGACCCATTTGTACCCCTCTCGCGTTCGTATAATTAGTATCCAGACGGGTTGGCACAAGCATGTCTTACACTCCGCGAGGTGTTTGCTAAAATATCACATCTATACAATATCAACGCACCTCAATAATGTGGCTAAATAAATAATATACATCATAGGTGGCGTCACTCACAATTATGGGACACCAACTCTCGTTAAATAGGACTAAAAGTTAACTTACAATATTAATAAGTTATTTCGTGGAATGTATAGAAAATCGACAAGTTTTGAACCGTTATATGCGTAATAAAATATATTAGGTTAATGAATTGTTGAGGGATATGAGATTATCGTTCGATATCACATTCATATCACACTGCTGTTTGTCTAGCGAGGCAGTCCGTTTATCAACAGAAAATATGATTGCAATATTTGGAAGTCATTTACTACAACATACATAAATATATGGAAAAAGTGGCAGTGTCGTTTGTATGGACGTTAAGTGTTATTATAATTAATATGAGAGGACCCGGGCATCGACATTAAGTTTATCACTTATCACAGTTCCGCTGTGTAGGCCTTTTGTAATAGAAAGTTGAAGTGTATAGGAATAAAGTTTCAAAATTTAATGGTTACAAAGTAATGGCGCAATTATGACATGGCACATTTTATACATAATCTAGAGCTGATATTTCCTTTCAAGGAGAAGCTTTTAGGGTACCGTTACACAATTTAGTTTCAAACAAGAAAGGACGCTTCAATTGAGCACTTATGCACCTAGTAACATGTGTATTGGAATACATAACATAACATCACGCCTTTTATCCCCGAAGGGGTAGGCAGAGGTGCACACAGAAGTAACACCCTATACCACTATTTATGTTATGAGTCCCATGTAATAGGGGGTGAGCCTATTGCCGTATACCGGGTACAATTCCTGCCTGCCT